AGCATAAGCATTTCTGTTTCTTCCATCTAACAGTTTTGTTGGTACACTGCAAGGATTTGGAATGAGAATATAAAGATCAAAAACTAGAAGTTGTAAGGGAGGGGACGAGAGGAGCAAGGAAGGGAATTTAGGCTATTGTAGTGAATCAGCAGATGTTATCTAAATGGTATTACTTACAGTTTTAAACGAATAACTAGAACAAAAATACAAACCTTCCCCATCATCCGACCAAACAAAGCAAAGCAAACAGATGTGTGGTGAAAGATTTTGGAAAAGCGATTAAAACAAGAAGCATAACATAAAATAATGCAGCAGACCTAAGACCAAATATATCTGTCCCACGAACAGGTGGAAACGTCACGGAGACATCCAGGATGGGAAGAAGAATTTTAGGACCAATTGCAAGTTCAAACCCAGCTATATTAGGGGACATGAAAAACAAAGTGATCCAGGGAGGTCGAAGATCAAAATACGGAACAGAGGTTTAGGTCGTCAGGTCCAAACAAAAAGAAATCAGGGATCGCGGTCTCAGTATGAGCAAAGACTGGATTCAGAGCAGAAAGGAAGACGTGAGCGTGTTATGATGCTCCTCAGTACAGCTCACCACGAAGATAAGTTCTGAATCTTTGCACCAAGTCAGACAGCACCAGCACTCCTAAAGCAAGAAAACCAGCGATACCAGGTGGCAGAGATTTTCAGTAGTGACAGGAGGTTAAACTCACCCCTCAGTTCATGACACAGTAAAGGACAGAAATGAGACTGGGCTAGAAGAGCCCAGTTCAAGTAACGAGCAAGGTAGGACTGACTGCTAGATGTTGGGCTCCAAGCCCCGAAGGCAGAGAAAACACCTTTTCAAGTGCCCATAAAACTAAGTGTTTACGAAAACCTCAATAAATTTCCTGAAGTAGAAATAACATAGACAAGGAGGATGGGGAAAATAGGTGATGGCTGGTAGAGCAAAGGGACCGCCCAGTCTGAAGAGATCCAATTCTGAGAGGACGCCGGCCCACCACCGTGGAGTCGGCCTGTGAGCGTCAGCCCTGACTGCAGACGGCGCTCTGAGCCTGGTGTCATGGAGTAGAAATCCAGGACAAACCCAGACAGTAAAGAGCCATAACAACAACACAGCTCTTAGCTCAGGTGAAAGAATTCCAAAGCAAACTGGCGATATCTAGGAGATGGGATGAACACTTCATTAGAATCTGTCGGGTGGCTAGAGGGCCGAGACGAAGAGCTTAGTCATAAAGGAAGACGTTCATGTATTCCTTCGGCTTCTGGATTGCCTTTCCTTGTCCCTGTAACCCTTTCCTGCTACTGCCATTTGTTTCTTCTCTGTCAGGCTACCTCGGAGGGTCTTGAGGGAGTGGGTTTCTGTGGTACACTCCGGAGCCCTCTCAGCCTGGGGGTGTCTCTAGCACTCAGGCGGGGTTCTCTCTCTATAATTTTTTTCTCTTTCTATATATTTGTAGAAAGAGATTTGTGATATGGAATAATGGAGGCTGAGAAACCCAAGACCTGCAACCAGTAAGCTGGAGACCCAGGAGGGCTGATAGTGTAAGTTCAGGCTGAGTCTGAGTCCAAAGGCAGGGGAAGACGTTGACGTCACAGCTCGAAGACAGCCTGACAGAAAGAGCACATTCTTCCTTCCTCAGCCTTTTGGGTTCTACTCAGGCCTTCAGTGGCTTGGAGGAGACCCACTGACCCTGGGGAGGGCAATCTGCTTTACTCCGTCTACCAATTCAAACGCTAACCTCCCAGGAGCACTCTCACAGACACACCCAGAATAGTGTTCATCCAGGTATCTGGACGCCCTGTGGCCCAGTCAAGTTGACACATAAAATTAGTCATCACAGCTACTAAGAGACTTCCTGAACATGAAAAAAAAAAAAGTGATTTTCGTTGGAAGCCTTGCTATTTAAAAGATGTCTGTTCTTAAGTTTATCTCTAAAATTATCATGGTCCCAAAGAAAATACCAACAGGATTTTTGGGAGTTGGATAGAATATGTTTCATATGGCAGAATGCACAGGTTAGAATAGCCGGGAATATTCTGAAAAAGAAGCCCTACCTGGCACTACCACATGTGAATGAGCTCAGAGCTGCCCTTCAAGCCACTGTTCTTTTTTTCTTTCTAATAATTTAAAAAAAATTTTAATAAACATATAATGTATTATTAGCCCCAGGGGTACAGGTCTGTGAATCGCCAGGTTTACACACTTCACAGCACTCAGCGTAGCACATACCCTCCCCCATGTCCATACCCTACCCCCCTGCCCCGGCAACCCTCAGTTTGTTTTGTGACATTAAGAGTCTCTTACCAAGCCACTGTGCTTAAGTTGCTCTTGTCCCTCAGCCTCGCTGCCTTTGCTCAGATCTTTGCCTACGCGACATGTTCCTGCCACAGGACCCTTGCTCAGACTTTTGACTGTTGGGATGATATGATGTGTGTTGCACCTGCTTCATTACCTCTTGCCTATTTACTACCTACTCGGTCATCACTTCTTTGGGGGAAATCTTTCCTTCTCACGTCTCTGATTGTAAGTCACACTTTCCTTTGTTTGCTTCTTTTTTTCTTTCTTACACGCATTTCAGTTTGTAATTATGTAATCATTAGTGTGGTTGTGTGATAAATGCTCTTTTCCTTAGTAGGGTGTAAGCTCAGTGCCTGGCCTTTAGTAAGTTTTCAGTAAATATTTCTTGATGAATCATCTCTAGTCTGTTGGACTTCGAAGGGTGATGTAGACCCAGCAACTGTCATCTAAACTCAGTGATCTAATGTAGGCCATGTCCCAGCATCCGTGGTCATGAGATCTTACTGTGTTGTTGCATTTGAAGATGTTAATGATTTCTGGTAGTGTTCTGCTCTAGAACATAACCTCCTAAAATGAAGGGCCCTATCTGACCTGTCTTGTGTGGCTTTTAATATTATGTCCAATGGATAATACTTTTCCATAAGAAGGAGATATAACATGATAGAATGATTGCATCATTCCCCGAAAAGGGATGCTAGTCATTGGAAGAAATAATCATAGCTATTGAAGAACTTATTTTCCTAATGAATTTTATAAAATGATGTGCCATCCAGGGGCGACTGGGAGGCTCAGTTGGTTAAGTGTCAGTCTCTTGACTGCCGCCGAGGTCATGATCTCAGGGTTGTGAGATTGAGCTCCGAGTCAGGCTCTATGTGCAGTGTGGAGCCTACTTGAGAGTCTCTTCCCACCTCTCCCTCTGCCCCTCCCCCGGCTTACACTCTCTGTCTCTTTCAAATAAATATATACATAAAATATTTATTTATTTTTTATTTTTTTAAGACTTTATTTATTTATTTGACAGATCACAAGTAGGCAGAGAGGCAGGCTGGGTGGGGGAGTGGGGTGGGAGAGCAGGTTCCCCGCTGAGCAGACAGCCGATGCGGGGCTCGATCCCAGGATCCTGAGATCATGACCTGAGCCGAAGGCAGAGGCTTAACCCACTGAGCCACCCAGGCGCCCCTACGTAAAATCTTTAAAGACGTAAAATAAAATGATGTGTCCTGCACACTCTACTTCATACCTCTCATAAGTGGCCACAGTCCTTATGTGGCCTGTTTTGGGAAATCTTGCTGTGGTGGTTAGGGGTGAGAAAGTCACTTCTGAGTATAAAGTGAGGCTGACCAGGATGTGGTTCTCTCATTAGATGTCATTCAGCCTTTTATGCTTTCTCCCCAGGAGTACACACCTACCATCTTCTTGGATATGTTGTGACTGGCAAACACGGGCTGTTACTAGGTGCACTGAAGGTTTTGTTTGGCATTTCGTGTGTCGAAACACACTAGTCATGACAACGCTTGTTGTAAAGTGAAGGTCTTTGAGAGGATTTTTGCATTCTCGAGTATTTCCAAACAGTAGTCTTTGGCAGTTCAGGAGCTGGGCAGCCATCAATCAGTTTTACTCGTGTGTCCCCTGAGGCCTCGTAGATAATTTCAGGAAAACCTGCTTTGTGTGACCTCTCTCATATTCCTTCAAAAATGAATGGCTTTTCTGTGTGTCTTTCGCAAAGACCACAGGCCTGGGAGACTTGACAGAAGTAGGCATAGGTATCTGTCCAAGGTCAGGAGTAATTCTTGAAAGAAGCAGGCCTTATGGTCTAAGTAACAGAACCAGAGTTCATCGACTCTGACCCACAGGCCAAACCCATCAAATCTGCTCTGCAGATGTGTTTATTTGGCTCCTATGGTGTTTCTTTTTTAAACATTGAAGGTAGTTGCCAAGTTGCAAAAACTGGGAATTTTTACTTCAGAAAGTCTGGATATAGGACTTGTCTTGAAAAATTGGAAAAATTTGGTTCAGCTCGGATCCACATTTCTGCGTTGGCAGCCGTCCGTGGAGCTGAGGGCTGTTGCCTGGTGGGTGGGACAAGGTCTCCTCAGGCCTTGCCTCACGATCACTGGTCTCCCAAGTTCATCTGAGTCACCTTCATGAGTCATGATCCCCAGAGAGGCTATGAGATTGAGAATAAATGGTTTAGTGAATAATTAGGAAGGAGACAGCCTTTTGCCTTCAACTCACACGATCTCTTTGGTAAACAAATGATGCCCTTTAGTCAAAAGATGAGGTGAGTTGATCATTTTTGTAGTCTGGAAACACAAGGACAATGAAATCTGTCTCTCTGCTGTGGACCTTGTCATACTGTGTCTGTTCTGACAGTCCTGTGGGGACTCAATCCGTTCTGGTCAGAGGTCAAGGAACATTTGAGTTGGGTGGAAGGGAGCTCTCTATAGTGGCAAAGGCCAGTTCTTAAGCGCCGTCTGTGAGAGCACGTCACTCCTTCCTGGTCTGCCTCCCGCCTCCTTCGGAATTTTGAGAGTGAAGCGATAAGGATGAAGACATGAGCTGGGCAGCGTTTTCGAGACATTGGGGGCTACAAAGAATGCTCTGTGTGTAATCTTGCTTTGCACAGCTGCACAGAAAATGTTGTTTAAAACTCTTCTTTCTGTTTTGTCTTGTGGGGGAACCCTGTCAGGAAGTTTACAACCGTCCCTTGGAAGTCCCAGTCACTCGGGAGCAGTTGAGCCACTATCGGAATGTGGCCGAAAATGCCCGAAGCGAACTGGCGGCAACTTTGGTCAAATTTGAATGCGCTCAGTCCAAGGTAAGACTATGCATCTTTGTGACTTAGAAATGGGCCCTTTTAGCCTCTTAGAGAGTGAAACAGAGTGTAGAAGTGATCAGAAATAGGTTGGGAGGACACAGCTTTACACCTTTTGGCAAAGGTGATATTCCTTTGGTGTGCCTACTCCGCTTGTAGAGAAATTCCTGAAAGGTTGTGCACGGCTGTGGTGCAGAGCGAGGGGACATGGGCTGGATCCTGGATCCTGTCAGAGGAGCTTCACAGCCTTGAGAGACTTGGGGGCACCTGATGACTTTGGTTGAAGTTGCCTTGGTGTTGAGTCATTTTTAGCATCTCCCTGAATATGTATCTTTAACATGATGAGCTTGCAGTCTGGAGGGCTTAGAAAGGAATGCTGGATCCCTTCCTAGTGTTAGTTCGGATTGGCGGGGGAAATTCTAGGACAATGATTGGGGTCCATCTTCCCTCTGGGCTGGATCAGGTCTATTGTGGAGTTCCTGAGAGAGTCCCTCTGGATCCACTCTGCTCACAGTCTGGTGGGCTTGCCTGTGAGCTAACTATCCTTTCACTGGCCTGCCAGGATTCCGCTGAGAGGCGATTTGGTACCTTGTGTGTGTGAAAAATTGTGTGCACGTATACTCATAGTTCCAAAGAAGTTTTCTTATAGGGCGGACCTGACATCTTAATCGGGCCCATACGTTGTACAGTATTTTGATGCCACAGAATTTATAAAAGTTAAAATGTTTCTTTTGTATAAATCCTGTAAGGATTTTCCTTTTCTTCCGTGTTTTCCCCAGACATCTATTATTATTTTTTTATTATTAATATTTTTTAAATTGCCCACAATAAGGATCCCGAAGGCAAGTGCGAGAACTACGGTGACATGTCAACTCATCTGTATCTACTTAGGAATCAGCTGTGGCTGTGAAATGACAATATCTTAGTTTGTAGGTTTCTTGTTTCATTGTCAGCAGCATTAAAAGCAATGCAGATTTAGGAAAGGAGTTACCGTTGAAACTATTTTATTGCTTTTCGTAAAATACACCACAGAAGTCTCTTGAGTGACACTAATCACCCCAAGACATTGCTCAGTTGGTTTTGAAAGAGACAGTATGTGAAGTCCACTGTTTAGTTGTATGTTCCCATCTGGTGATACAGATACAAATGTGAAAAAAAAGAAAAGCTGGATTAAGTCATGAACGAAGAGTGAGATTTGAAATTATGGTTTTGGGTTTCTTAAAAGTACTTCACGCTTATGCCACTGAAATCCTTTTCCTCCTTTTTACGGGTTTTCTGTGTTAGCTTCGAGACCTCCGATCCAAGATGCTTTCGAAAGAAGCCTCCTGTCAAGAGCTGAAAACTGAAATGGAGAATTACAGAGAAGATAATGCTAGAAAATCATCTCTCCTCACCTCCCTGAGATACAGAGTTCAGGAGTTAGAAGAAGAATCAGCAGCGCTTACCGCTTCTAAAATTAGAACCGAAATCACAGCTCACGCTGCAATCACGGAGAACCAGGAGTTAAAGAAGAAAGTTGCAGAACTAGATGAGAACTTACAGTAAGGGTATTTCAATATATTTCATGATCGTTAGTATTCAAATACTAGCTCCTGATAGCAGGATATGCCCTTGAAGGTACTGGCGTGTTGTTGCCTTATTTGGCCCTGAAACTCAGTTTGGAAAAAAAAAAAAAAATCTTGAACCTCAAATATCTTCAGAGTCTTGAAAATTTTTCTCAAGCTCATTTCCAAATGCTACCAGGAATCTTAACACACAAGGCATTGTCCTAAGCATGTTTATGTCTGGTTGATTGGGGCTGCAAATGCTCATATACAGAATTTAGAAGATTTTCTGTAAGTAGAGGTTTAACTAGAGGTGGTGGAATGGCACAGAGAGGGAGGTGTTTATTCAAAAGCTAGCTGTAAAAATATCCTGGAAGCCCAGACCACTGCAGACCACCCCGAATACTCCTCATTAGCTTTTATTACCCATTTATGCAGAAAAATCACGAAATGTGGGTTTTCCACACTTCGTTCTGGCAAAAGGTAATTCTTGAGACAAAACTGGGAACTAGTTGTTCCAAAAATATACTTTTAAAATTCTACATGTAATAACTTAAATAACTTTAATAATAAGATACTTAATATTTCTTTTACTTATTCCATCTTAAAAAAAGAAGATCCAACACCTCCAGCTCTTGTCCTCTCTCCCTCTCCTCCCCGCCACCCGCAATCTTACAGCAAAACTCCTATGACCAGTGACCCCACATTGAGGATTAAATGGTCCGTCTTTACCTCACTTGACTTACCAGTGTATCAGGCACAGTTGGTCTCTCTCCTTGAACCACCTTCTTTTTCTGGCTGCCAGGACACTCCCCATGCCTGCTTTGTATCTTTCCATTCTAGCTGCCCTGCCATGGTCTCTTTTGTTTTCCCCATCTCATCTCATTGACTTCCAAAGACTGGAGTGCCCTGGCACGCAGTCCTTGCGTCTCCTCTGGTTTCTGTCTAAATTCAGTCTCTTGGTGATCTCAGGACTTTAAGTATGATCTAAATGCTAGTGATGCCCTCATTTCTGTGTCAAGCCTGCATCTTTTCTCGGACCTCAAGAGAGACCCACATATTTTGACTACCTACTGGACATCGTCACGTGGATGTCCAATGGGCATCTCACACTTAACATGACCAAACGGAGCTCGTGCTGTTCCCACAGAATGCTCCTGCCCCTTTCCTCATCTCCAGTGATAATTCCATTCCTCTAGTTCATCAGGTCAACGGTCTTGGTCACCATCCTTGGTCCTCTCACTCTTTCACGCTTTGTGTGTGATCTTTCAACAAGTCCTCTCATCTCTACCTGCAAAATAAGTCTATATTTTGACTGCTTCCCATTGTTGCCTTCACTGCCACTAACCTGATTCAAGGGGATACCATCTCTTTCTGGGACTTTTGCAATAGCCTCCGAAGTGATTTTCCTGCTACTGCCTGTGCCCCTCCCAGCTGGAGTGATCCTGTAAAAACACAAATTAGATCTCATTGGTCCTCTGCCTAGAGGCCTGCGGTGACTTCTCTTCTCTCTCAGGGTAAAGACAAAGGATATTCTGTTACCTAGAGGGCTCATCCTGACCTGGTTTTGTTTCCATTCTCCCTTATTCTTTCCATTTCATCTCACTGGCTCCTTTGCTGTCCTTCGAACATAACAGGTGTGTTCCTACCTCAGGACTTTTTCACTTGCTAATCCCATGGCCTGGAAAGCTCTTCCCCCAGATATTGCATGGCTTCCCCTCTGCTCCCTTTAGGTCTTCACTCAGAAGTCGCTTTCCCAGGTCTTCCATGAGTGACGACATCTAAAATTTTACTCTGCTTCCCCCATATATTTCTTCCTCCCCTTCCTGCTTAATTTTTTTGTCTCCAGCTTTTTTTGTATAACCGTATACATTTCACATACATTGATTTTGATTACTGTCCATCTTCCTGACTAGAATATAAGCTCTGTGAGGGCAAGGATGTTCATCTGTTTTGTTCACTACTGTATCTTTAGTACCTTTAACAGGGCTTGGTGCATAGTGAGTATCCAGTAAATATTTATTAAATATTTAATAAATAATAATAATAATAACAATTATGTCATAATTATAACATGTTATAATTATACATAATTTAATTATAATAATATAGTAATATTAATAAATAACAAATTAAATATTTTAAATATATTTTATTATAATATATAAATAAAATAAATAAATATTAAATATTTATTAAATAAATGAATAATACAAATGATATGTACTGATTGTAAGAAAATTTTTTTAAGATATAGAAAATTACCAAAAACATTAAAATTACTCAAGACCTTATGATTCCCGAGAACTATACTTCAGATTCTGGTGAACAGGTTTTCGGGTAGTTGACATCATATAATGAACCATTTTTTTTTTTTTTTTACTGAATAATATGTTGTAGACATGTATTTTTAAAAATTGACAAACCATGAGAGACTGTGAACTCTGAGAAACAAACTGAGGGTTTTGGAGGGGAGGGGAGTGGGGGGATGGGTGAGCCTGGTGGTGGGTATTAAGGAGGGCATGGATTGCATGGAGTACTGGGTGTGGAGCATAAACAATGAATCTTGGAACACTGGAAAAATAAAATAAAAAAAAGAGATTTTACTAATTGATTGATGGCTCTTGAGCAGGGGGAGGGTCAGAGGGAGAGAGAATCAAGTGGGCTCTGGGCTGAGCATAGAGCCCGATGTTGGGCTTGATCCCACGACCCTGAGATCATGACCTGAGCCAAAATCAAGAGTTGGGCATTTAACCAGCTGAGCGACCCAGGCGCCCCTATGTTGTAGATATTTTAAAAACTCACTTGTGTATCATTCTTATTAGCCCACATTACCCATTGCCTGAAATATCGTAATTTACTTACCAGTTCTTTTTGTTATTTCTTGTAGACAGGCAGGTTTCATTCAAAGAATCATTATAAAACAAGTGTATTCATGTGTACTCCTATTTTCACATTTATGTGATCATGTCCTTAGGATAGATTCCTAGAACTTTGTTGGGTCCAAGTGAAATGCACATAGAAGTGGGAATAGTTCAGACACACTTGGATGGAGAAGCAAGACTGAAATCTTCGACCAACTGGGTGGAATCGTGCACATAAATCAGTCCATCCACATCATAGCATTAACTGTGCTTTTCATGAGCCAGAGAGACTGAACACATTTTACCTTTCATATGCTGAAAATAAGAACTCAGAGATATATTGATGTTGGTCTTTTATTGTTATACATTTTTCTAAACAGAAATATGATATGCTTTTGAGTGTATGCAATTACATGCTTTGTTAATCTTTGAATAGAGTGAAAGAATTTGCGGTAAACACTGAACATGGTAAAAAGGGAAAGCAATAATCATGTTTATTATCTAGGGTACTGAAAAAGTGATACCAAATTACTGAAATGATTCTAATTTGCCTTTAAAGTATGTCTATTTTTTAATGATCTCTTAGTTGGTAACATTTAAAGCATTAGAAATAGACTGTGCTATTTCAGCAAACCTATCTGAGATTTGAAATGAAATATTCATAGCAGAGCATAATCAACTGATTTTCCTTGACTGGCCCATTTCAATACTCTTAAAACACTCTGGGTGTATGAAAACTGGTAACGGTCTTTGCTGGTGATTGAACATTTCTCTCTTTGAACATCCCCTGCTGATGATATATTTTTTATTATAGTTATGCTTGGCTGTGACCCGGGGTATGCCCTAAGTAACACTTATAGATCACTGCATAAAGTCTGAAAATAAAGCAAAAGATGATACACCAGAAGAAACATAGCAGCCCTGTCCTACTTCCTCATGAGGACCCAAAAGAGACCCATGACTACATACATCCATTGTGATCTAGAGATTTCCTGCCACTTCTGCAGATCCTTAATGGTCCAGGACAAGAGGCAGAGAGTCTATCTCCTCTGTGGTTACAAGATCTAAGATGCCATGAAGATTTTTGTACATTTCTGCCAAGTGTAGATGCCTGGCTTTGACATGCAGCCCTTACACGGCTTGCAGGGCAATGATGTGTTCTGTGTCTGGGAAACTGTTGTGATGAAAGTGGTGATTGGATCAGAGAGCTTAAGTTCTGAACTTTGTTTGATGAATGATCTCTTCTGTGGTGTTATAACTTGACTTGTGTGTTGTTTGCCCTTTAGAAAGTGTTTAAAGGAAAACGAGGAGAATAAGAATCAAGCCTCGAAGAATTGCAAGAAACATGAGGAATTTCTAGCTCAACTTGGTGACTTCTTAGATCCAGAGAAGAAGAATGAAAAGGCATCAGATGAAGATTTAATTCTAAAGGTGAATGCACATGAAAAAGATGACAAATGTAGCAGTTATTCTGACATGTGCCGTGAATGGAATTGCTGTGATTGAGTCTGGGGGTGGCAGGAGAATGGGACAGTAGCCCAAATATAGCATTGCTTGACTGTGTGATCTGGGACAAACCTTATACCTCTCTGAGCTCAATTCCAAAGTCTTTTCTAACATTATTTGGGATTAATAACTATCCAGAAAAGATGAATTGTTTTGTCTTAAATGTATTTAGGTTGCCAAATGTAATTCATCATTCATCTTAACAATGTGTTTTAGGGAGTTTTTTGTTTTAGTTACAGACAGAAGCACACACATACACACGAAACCCACACCCAAACCAGCTGTGCCATTTTTGGGATACTTACTGAGTCTAAGGTTAAGATTAGTTCTAAAGTACTTTTTAATTTTCCACTGGAATCAAATAATAACAAGGTTGCCAGTAAGGTGGAAGTTAGTTATATTCAATGAATAATTCACTCAGCACATAGTGATTCATTAGGGCACCTGACGGTGTTGGAGCTCTCACCATATTTTTGCTCATTTCACACCTTTCGTATCCTTGCTTCCTGACAGATCTCCTTGCAGCCAATCTTTTTTATTAAAATTTAAATTTATTAAAAGGTGTAATTGACATGCAACATTATTTTAGTTTCAGGGGTATAGCGTAATGATTTGACCTGGTATACACTGTGAAATGATCCCCATAGTAAGTCTGGTCACCATCTGTCACCATGAAGAGTTACAAAAAATTTATTATTTCTTTTCTTGAGAGGAACACTTTCAAGATGTACTTTCCTGGCAACTTACAAATGTGTCCGAGGATTGTAGTCACCATGCTGCACACTGCATCTCCATCACCTGTTCATTTCCCAGCTGGAAGTCTGTACCCCCCATCCTCCTCCCCACTGGCAACAACCACTCTGTTCTTCATATTCATGTGCTTTTTTTGTTTGTTTGTTTTGGCTCATCTGTTTTTTAGATTCCACATATGAATGAAAGCATAGAGTATTTGTCTTTTGACGTATTTCATTTAGCCCTGTTGTCACAAATGGCAAAGATTCATTCTCTTTCTCTTTTTGTTTTGGGGGGAGGAAGAGGGAGAGGGAGGGAGAGAATCTTAAGCAGGTTCCATGTCCAGCATGGAGGCAAAAGTGGGGCTCCATCTCATGACCCAGAGATCATGATCTGAGCCAAAATCAAGAGTCAGATGCTTAACTGACTGAGCTACCTGGGTGCCCCATTTCAGCCTTTTATATGACTGAGTAGTATTCAAGGTTTATACACACACACACACATACACACGTATGTATATAATTTTCCATATATATGAATATATATCTGTATTTATAAATTTATATATATATCTTTTTTCATCTATTGATGGACCCTTAGGTTGTTTGCATAGCTTGGTTATTGTAAATAATGCTGTAGTGAACATATGGGTGTATACATATTTTCTTTTTTTCTTTTATTTATTCATTTGAGAGAGAGAGAGAGAGGGAGCATGAGTGGGGGGAGAAGCAGAGGGAGAGGGACAAGTAGACTCTATACTGAGAATGGAGCTGGATGCGGAACTTCATCTCATGACCCTGATCATGACCTAAGCGGAAATCAAGAGTTGGATGTTTCATGGACTGAGTCATCCAGGTGCCCCGCATATATCTTTTCTAAATAGTGTTTTTATTTTCTTGGGATGAATGCTCAGAAGTGGAATTGCTGGATCATATGGTAATTATATTTTTCATGTTTTGAGGAGCCTCCATACTGTTTTCTATGGTGGATGTACCAGTTTACATTCCCACCAACAGTGCGCAAGGATTCCTCTTTCTCCATATCCTCTCCAATAGTTACTTTGTAACTTTTTGATATTAGCCATTCTGACAGACATAAACTGAAACCTCATGTGGTTTTGACTTGTGTTTCCTCGATGATGAATGATGTTGAACATCTTTTCATGTGTCTGTTTGCCATCTGTATGTCATCTTTGGAAAGATGACTATTCAGTCCTCTGCCCTTTTCTTTTTTTTTTTTTTAAAGATTTTATTTATTAGAGAGAGAAGGAGAGAGCAAGTGTGTGCATGCACGTGAGCAGGGGGAAGAGGCAGATGGAGAGGGAGAGGCAGACTCTCTGCTGAGCAGGGAGCCTGATGCAGGACTCGATCCCAGGACCCTGAGATCATGACCCAAGTCAAAGGCAGAAGCTTAACTGACTGAGCCACCCAGGCGCCCCTGCCCACTTTTTTTAATTGGATTTTTTCCTTATACGAGTTCTTTATTTATTTTAGATATTAACCCCTTGTCAGGTACATGATTTGCAAATATTTTCTTCCCATTCAGTGTGTTGCCTTTTCAACTTTTTGATGGTTTTCTGGCCATGCAGAAGCTTTTCAGTTTGGTAGAGTCTCACTTGTTATATTTTATTTTATTTTATTTTATTTTATTTTGCTTTTGTTGGCTTTGCTTTTGGAGTCAGGTCCAAAAAAAAAAAAATGTTACTGATGTCAAGGAGCTAACTGCCTGTATTTTCTTACAGGAATTTTATGGTTTCAGGTCTTAGAGTCAAGTCTTTAATCCATGTTGTTTTCATTTTTGTGTGCACTATAAGATAATAGTCTAGTTTAATTCTTTTGCTTATGGCTGCCCAGTTTTCTCAGTATCACTTATTGAAGAGATTGTCCTTTCTGTATTGTATCTCGTGTCTCCTTTGTTGTAAATTAGTTGACCGTGTATATGTGTGGGTTTATTTCTGATCTCTCTGTTCCATTCTGTGGACGTATGTGTCTGTTTTTATGTTGTTACCGTACTGTTTTGATGGCTATAGCTCTGTAATATCATTGGAATCAGGCAACATGATCCCCCCCCCCCCCAATTTTGTCCTTCTTTCCCAAGATTGTTTTGTTTATTGAGGCTCTTTTGTGATTCCGTCCAAACATTATCATTGGTCTATGTCTCTGAAAAATGCCATTGGGATTTTGATAGGATTGCGTCGAACCTATAGATCGCTTTGACTTATATGGACATTTTGACAATATTAACTCTCCCAATTCATGGGCACAGAATATCTTTCCATTTATTGGTGTCTTCTTCAATTTCTTTCATTAATCCATGCAGCCATTCTTAAAGCCACATCTCAGAATTTTATTAGTAAATTCTATTTATTTTATTTTATTAGTAAATTTTATTAGTAAATTCTAATTATATTCTATACAATTTTATTGTACTTCCTACAAGTTGCAAAATCATTTCAGTTAACTTCAGGAAGCATTCCACTTCACTGACAGGCTTTGATAGCTCAGGCCTGATAGTCCCAAGGGTTCTAGATGCTTCTCCTCCACTTCCCCGTTGTGCACGTGGACCAGCAGCCTGTCTGTCCAAGTCCACGGGGCAGTGTAGTTTGGGAGATTTTTTTAAAGCCAAATGATGGGGCAAAGAAAAGAGAATGGAGAACCTTCTTCTTTCATAACACACGTCCCCTCATCAGAGATGAGCTCCAGGTGCTAATCTGGAAGTTGATACTGTATTAATTATGCCTTATTGTTTTCTGTATTTTGAATGCTTTGACATCTGGGGTCTTTTTGACCCAGGAGAGACTGACTCAGAGGGTTAGCCAATTTCTCCCAAATGACCCTCTGGGGAGCATGGCTTTCACATGCAAACCAGTTGCTTCCACACCCCAGCCATTTTTTTCTGTCAGGCTCTGGGCCAGTGTCCACCTTCCCGGATCACCACAGGGCTAGGTACCACACAGCCCTTACACAACTCAGATTACTCTAACTAGCCAGTCCCGAGCCTGCTTACCTTGCCTTGCTCACCTCATCCTGTGGAAACCATGACAAAGATTCTTACCTCTGTTTTCCTTTGCTCTCCTCATCTCCGGAGTGACCTGGTGCTTTCCTCCGTGGCCTCATGTGGCACAGCGTGCCTCTTCTTCTTAACAACTGTGAGTAACAAATTGTTTGCAGCGGCAGCTCTCTCCAGATCTGTTCAGTTCCCCATACCTGAATAACAAAAGAAACTATATTTTAAAACAGATACTAGGATTCTAGGGCTTTAGCATCTCAAATTAAAAAAAAAAATCACTGGTCCAGAGGAGAAAGGCTGCTGTCTTTATCAACACTCACTAGGTGGTCCTCTGGGAAGTGAAACAAAACCACTCCTTCAATTTCAAAACCACTTCCTCCCTTTCACAGCTCTCCCAACCACATGTGCACCCCCCACTCCCCCAAGAAACCAAGGAGGTGTTCCTCAGGACTTACTGGACATTCATCTGTTTCACAGATATTTAGTGAGTGACTACTATATATTGGACACGGTTCTGGGAGCTGGTGGTGCCGCAGTGAATGAGATAAGACTGAATCTGCTCTTCTAGAAATTTTGTTATTGTGAGATAAAGATAATGAGGAAATAAACAAATATCCAATATTATCTCACGTAGTAAAGGGGAAGAAACACCAACGAGGATGTGGGGATAGAGAGTGAGGCAGGTTAGAGGTGTGGCAAGCTAGTTTATGTGGACTGGCCAAGGAGTGCCCCTCTGAGGTAGGAACTTTTTACTTTTTTAAAGTTATTTTTCAAAATTTAAGTTCAATTAACTAACATATGTTAGTTTCAGAGGTAGAGTTCAGTGATTCATCAATTTTATCTAATACTCAGTGCTTATTATATCATGTGCCCTCCTTAATGTCCATCACCCAGTTACACCAACCCCCACCCCCCTCCCTCGAGCAACCCTGCTTGTTTCCTCTGATTAAGAGTCTCCTGTGGTTTGTCTCCCTCTCTGATTTTGTCTTGTTTTATTTTCCCCCTCCCTCCCCTACGATCCTCTGGTTTGTTTCTTAAATTCCACATATGAGTAAGATTGTATGATACTTACTTTTCTCTGATTGGCTTATTTCCCTTAGCATAATACCCTCCAGTTCCATCCTTGTTGTTGCAAATGGCGAGATTCCATTTTTTGAAGGCTGCATAGTATTCCATTGTGTACACACACACACCCTTCTTCGTCCATTCGTCTGTTGATGGACATCTGGGCTCTTTCCACAGTTTGCCTACTGTGGACGTTGCTGCTATAAACATTGGGGTGCAGGTGACCCTTCGGATAGCTACATTTGTATCTTTGGGGTAGATCCCCAGTGGTGTAATGGCTGGGTCGTAGGGCAGCTCTATTTTCAGCTCACTGAGGGACCTCCACATTCTCTTCCAGAGTGGCTGCACCAGCTTACATTCTGAGGTGGGGCCTTTTGAAAGATATTGGGGACTGAACATATGCATATGCAGAAAAGTGTTCAGGAGGGTGGGAACGGCCCTGAGTTGGGATCCAGATGCCATGTTGGCCAGGTGCTGAGGCTGAAAGATATGACGCTTCCCCAGAGCGTCATAACGCAGATACTGACTCTGTAATGTGGGGTCTCAGCTCTTCCTGCAGGCGTCCTCGTGGCCTTCCAGCCTGAGCTGTCTGAAGGGCTGGTGCCCCAGGCCAAGGAGCCTGTCTGATTTCATTTTCCCTCCTTGTAAATCTTATAAATCTTATTCATGCTTTCTGCTGACAGCCTAAATGCACAACATAGAGAGTGAAAAGCTCTGCTAATCCTAATGATAGCCACTGTTTGAACACGTTATTCGGGATTTTTCTATGCTTATATGAATTAGGAGGATTTTCTTTTTAAAAAGAAAGTCCTGCTTTCTTCTCTGTGCCCCCTCTTCCCCCCACCCCGCCAGGTAGCGCCTCGCTTGCCATTGGCGCCAGCAGACGTGGGCAGAATAGAACTCCTTTGGTCCCTCCCCTGCTGTAATCTCCGTGGAACATCACCTTTCCTCGATTATTTAAGCCAGGGGCTTGCTGATGCCTGCTCTGTCGGGAAGCATTTGGCAAGGCTCTCAGTAGCTCTGCCCTGAAGCTATCTTTTGATTAATTTTAATTTGATCACTGGGTCTGCGTGTAACAACAGAGTTTAGAGGCTGCTTATGAAAATGTGTTCTTTTGAGTGGATGGAGGGATAGTGCTTTCCCGGGTTTCGTGTGATCATGCAGTCAGCGGGGTACATAGATCAGAGTTGCTTACAGGAAGCCGAATGAAATTGTTAATTTTTATCAGCTAGCTGTAACTGCTTTCTCTTCAGCTTAGAGAGCTGTGCGAGGAAAACGCATTGGTGAAAGGACAGATTGTTACTCTTGAAGAGACTATAAATGTCCATGAGATGGAAGCAAAAGCTAGCAGAGAAACCATCATGAGGCTGGTTTCTGAAGTAAACAGAGAGCAGAAAAAAGCTGCCTCCTGCACCGAGGAAAGAGACAAGCTGAACCAGGTACAGTATGTGAAGTGTGTATGTGCATCTGCGATCATGTTTATGAAGCGGAAATTGACAGCCAGATGTGGGTGAGCACACTGGCATGGCCGACCACAGCTTCCAAAGGCTGCTGTCAGCAGGAGGGCTGGGGGCAGCATGGGACTCGGTGACCTGAACAGGCCGTTGGATACATAGCTTTTTCCTAATTAGGAAACACACGCACGCACGCGCGCGCGCGCACACACACACACACACACACACACACCATATTTAAAGGTAGAGTCTGTAGAGAACTATGTTTTCCTTTAGTTAGCCTCTAAGGATTTTGAAAACTCAAACGTTAACCTTTTTTGAACAGATAGGTAATGCATCCACCAGATACAAAATTCCAAATCGACATAAAGGTATATGCTGAAAAAAAAAAAAAAAGGTATATGGTGAACATCTTCCCCACCCCCACCCCTCCTGCCAGCCATGCAGTTGTTCTCCTCAGAGGCAACCTCTGTTAAGAGTTATTTTTTTATACCTTTCTAGAAATGTTCTATGATATGTATACTTACTCTTTTTAAAATTTAATATTAATACAAATGGCAACATGCTCTGCATTATATTTTTCCTTTCACTTAAATACAAAATGGTAATATACCATACACTGTTATAAGCAAGGCTGCTATGAATAATCTGATATTATTTGTCACGCTTGAGAATGTATCAGTAAGACAAATCCCTAGAACGTATATACTTGCAGGGTCGAAGGAGGTGGGTGTTACTTAGAAGAGACTGTCATGGGGCACCTGGGTGGCTCATTCAGTTAAGCATCTGCCTTCACGATCCCAGGGTTCTGGGATCGAGCCCCACATTGGGCTCCCTGCTCAGTGGGGAGTCTGCTTCTCCCTCTCCCACTCCCCCCTGCTTGTGCTCTCTCCCTCTGTCAAATAAGTAAATAAAATCTTAAAAAAATAAAAAAGAGACTGTCAAAGGGAAGTGCCTTAATACTGGACCTTTAATTGTACAATGAATTTCTTGATCTTTTCAAATTACCCAAAGCCGTGTTTGAGCATGCCAATTAATCCTATTGTATTTTCATGCTATATAATTTTTCAACTATATTTTTATATTCTTGTGACAAAGAAACTAATTATGGGATTAATAATAATGGTGAATTTTCAAAAGTGAAAGCAAGCCAGTGCAATCCGTTAATAAAATACATAGGAGACAATTAAGTGGTAAAGGAGATGTAGTTCAAAATCAGATAATGACTGGACTGGATTCAGGTTCAATGTTTTTGGGGAGGACATTTCAGAGTTTAAGTTGTAGATGTCATAGGCACGTTATACTGGATTGTTCCTTGTTGCTGACACTAAGTTTGCCCATCTCTTTAGCATAAAGGGACTTTTTTTTTTCTTCTTCAGTTAAGTAAGGTATCCCTGGGCAGATTATTCCTGATAATTGGCAGGTTTATTTCTGTTCCCCATTGACTTTACTGAGTGGGATTATCATCACTGATTCATGTCTGGATTAATTTACATCGTGGGGGGTACAAAAAGTAATATTCAAATTTTACCATTCCTTCTGCCTATTAGCTGGCATTCTTCTGTAAAGAAAAGCTTTTTATTTTTTTTTTCTTTTGAGTTCTGTGGACACATGGATTTGTATTTACTCACTGTGTTATAATCGATTACCTTTTTTTTTTTTTTTTTTTTTTTTTGGTGCTCTAAATTCATTATATTGGCCCAGGAGCAGCCCCTCTGGTCTCTGTGACCTTATAACCTGCCTCTGGTCTTTCAACACTTCCTGGATTTTTCTGACAGAAGACATGGCATTGAGGATCACTTAGAATTTTCAGACACAGAACTAAAATCGACCTGTTCTGTAGGGATTGTTGGTGCCCTTTCCTGGAGAATGGTGCTTACAACCACGATTTAGGCTCTCAACGTGCTTATTGCTATTGGGCTGTTTCTTTTGGTGGACTGAGCTAGAAATACATTTTTAGTTAAATAAACTCTTAGTGGTATGTTTAATTAAAAGTGATAGAGTTTTCTTATTATCTTTGTGTTTTCTATTAGTATCTTTTGAATCTTAATCATAATATATACTCTTTTGCTTTGTCTTACCATATACATAAAAGTATTTCAGAATTATGCATTTAATGTTTAACCTACCAGTGAGCATTCTCAGTGAAGTTTCAGGATCTCAGATTTTTTACATGAATCCTATCAGTAATCATTTCTGTAATAGTCACCATTTATCGATCACTTACTATTAGCACAGTCATTGTGCTAAGTGTACTCTGCTCAAGTTCACATAGCTCTTAAGTAGCAAAGATCGGATTTGAACCCTGCTCATGACATTATTTTGCCATCATCAGTAATCCCTTTCCGCATGTGGTCACAGCTATATCCTATATATCTGTCTGATGCCAAGTTATTTGTCAGTGAGACAACAGCAGTAAGTAGCTATGCAAATTTCCTCAGTGAATGAATAACTTGAATTCGATTAAAAATAGTAATGATTAAAATATCAAGCCTTGAAAATTGGGCAGAAGTTAATACTTACCTATAAGAATGCATTTCTGGGGGTACCTGGGTGGTTTGGTCGTTAAGTGTCTGCCTTCAGCTCGGGTCATGATCCCAGGGTCCTGGGATCAAGCCCCATGTCAGGCTCCCTGATTGGTGGGAAGCCTGCTTCACCCTCTTCCACTCCCCCTGCTTGTGTTCCCTCTCTTGCTGTGTCTCTATCAGATTAAAAAAAAAAAAAAAGAAAGAATGCATTTCTGAAGATGAGCAGTAGGAAATGAAAATGTGCTATAAGAGTACATTTTTAAAAAAACAACTTATTTCTCATATGTATTTTTACTTGTAAATGATGCAGTGCTGTTCAGGCTTGGAAACACATTCATTTTAGGATGTAGTTCCTGCCAAAATAATAAAAATTGTAAAAAAAAAAGTGCAATAAAAAACTTGAGGTCTTTAATAAAGTGCTCATTCATAGGATTATGATTCCAAAGATTTACTACTGAAAAATACTGTCAAGTGGTTTTTACTGACACATTAATGGCCTCAGGAAGCATCTTCATAATGCTTTCTAAAGCTCTGTTTTTGAGGTAGGAAACTTACTTTATTAGTGAAGCCCAGAATGACCGCGGATGTAGTAATATTTGCAGGCTGGGGTGCTGTTTTTACGAACCTCAGCTTTTCTCTTTTTCTTAATTACTCTATTTACTTTATGACTTTTACTTTATGAAAACTTCCCCAATAAAAAACCAGGTGATTTATTATATGTAAGGAAAATATATTATTTGAAAATCTTGAGTTGTTAACATTGAAGTATGTTTTAACAACTCTGAAAGATCGGCACTTTTTCTTTCTGTTATTTTGAAATAATCCAGGGTTCAAAAGAGTAGGCACTTACCCTCCACAAGCCACACACGCATTTCCTATAGGCCATACAAGTTCAGATCAATCAGAAACTAAACTTACTTAAGGGATTTCAAACAGTTTCTTTTCCTTCATGCTGTTGACATTTCCTTTAATTCTGGTAGCTAGAGTCAAAGCTAAGAAAGAATATTGGTTTTGGAGTCAGGCAGGTCTGGTTTGGAAGGATGTCCTTTCTGCTCTTTTGGTTTGTTAGCATGAAGTAGCGAATGGAAGAGAGACTAGCATGGGACAATTCTCACTCAGGGAGTAGAGTGGTTAAGAGGCTAGGCTCTCAGGTTTTTATCTGGACTCCAGAGTCATTTGGCTATGTGATCTGAGTGAGATATATGGCCTTACCTCTTGGAACCTCAGTTTCTTGTCTGTAAAATAGAAAAATAATTTAAGGATCCATCTCTTAAAATTATTCTTAGGACTGGATGACATAATATACACGAAGTACTCGGGACATGCCCATCACACTTGATGCTCTGTGTTTTTATTTCCTTTCCTAGTTATTTATATTTACCCAGGGATCCAAAGAAACAAAATTATTTTCAGGGTTTAGGCATATGGAAATAAGTTCCTGGAAGTGAGGACTTACTAGGATAAATTACTAAAGAATTTGAAGATCTCTTTATGATCTTAGAATCATGATGATGGAAGTGACCTTACGGCCTTTTAGAATCTAGATCATGTAACCCTCTATGTGGAATCAGAATCATCTTTATTTCCTTTTTTTTTTTTAAAGATTTTATTTATTTATTTATTTGACAGAGATCACAAGTAGGCAGAGAGGCAGGCAGAGAGAGAGGGGAAGCAGGCTCCCTGCTGAGCAGAGAGCCCGATGCGGGACTCAATCCCAGGATCCTGAGATCATGACCTGAGCCGAAGGCAGAGGCTTAACCCACTGAGACACCCAGGTGCCCCCAGAATCATCTTTAAAATGTCACTGTCTAGCTAGTTTTCCAGCCTTCACTTGAACTCTTCCAGAAGCAGGGAACTCAGTACCGAACAAGGAGATCCATATTCTCTGTAAAGTTCTTTAAAAAAAAAAAAAGATTTATTAGAGAGACAGAGAGAAAGAATACAGGTGGGAGGGCAGAGGGAGAGGGAGAGAGAATCCCAAGGAGACTCTGTGTTGAGTGAGGAGCCCAGATGCAGGCCTTGATCCCACAACCATGACATCATGACCTGAGTCAAAATCAAGATTCAGCCACTCAACTGACTGCACCACCCAGGCCCTCTCTGTATAGTTCTAATTTTTTTTGACAGTTCTTCATTATAGCACGTCAGGATCAGAATCCCCACAATTTACATCCTCATCCTGGTTCTATCCTAATGAAACTTCATAGAATAAACTGAAATCTCTTTCTTATGGCTAACCTTAAAGCATTTGAAGACACTTATGGATTTTTATGTCTTTTCTTTTGGCTAAACAGCATGTATCTCTCAAATGTTGAGCCTTCTTTAGTATCATCTGTGAGGCTGGGAGAGTCCTGGCCTCTGGGTGAAGATTTAAAATGAAAATAAGCACTAAAATAATATCTGTTCATAAGACTCCGAACTAAAATTTAAAGCCTTCTCTCCTTGTACTTCTAGCCT